AGGATTTAGTATTGCGGGTGCGGCACTCAAAGCAATAATCACAATCAGTACAAATAGTATAAAACAGGTTAGACAAAAGAAAAGAGAGGGACGAAGAGTAAGGAGATGAGGACAAAAACAAAAGCAAAAAGGGCTTCAGGGCGATCGCAACCAAATTTTTAATTTTTATATCGACAGAAGGGACTGGTTGAATCTTGATGGTTGGGCTATATCAAGCCAGGGACGTCATGTCTTCAGGAAGTTGGTGTGGGTATCCAACAGTATAGCCGTCAGTTTTTCGTTAACCATTATGAAGTTCATCCTGTCTTTAACAGCCTCGAAGCTGAGGAGGGGAGTCTTCCAAGCCCTCGCAATTGTCAGCTTGGTGGCCATAAATAGGTGTGAAGCTAGCTGCCGTTTGGGACGTAGTAGGCCCACTAATGGTTTAAATAAAAGCGATTCATATGGGTTGCGCTTAATGTCTGTGTGAAACATAGTACGGAGGAGGGCATAAACTCTGATCCACAATCTACAGACCTTGGGGCAAGTCCACCAGATGTGAACCATAGTACCCATCTGTTGACAGCCCCGAAAACAAGTTGGTTAATATGTAGGGATAAAACGAGCCAGACTAGCAGGCATGTATTACCATCGATAAAGAACCTTATAGGCATTTTCTAGAATGATAACATTCCTAGAACATTTAGATAACGCTTGGGTCATGGTCCGCCAATCCTGTTGATCCACAGTGCCCCCAAGTTCCGACTGCCAACGCTGATAATAGGAACGGACCGGAGGAGTTCTATAAGAAATAATGGAAGAGTAGACCAGAGAGATTAGGCCCAGAGCATGGGGTCTGTGTCTACATTGACTTTCAATTGCTTTTCAACCTGTAGGGTCCCGAGTGCATCCGTATTAGTGTATTAATAAAGTGGCGGAGTTGAAGATAGCCAAAATGTTCTCGCAATGGGATATCATGAGAGGAGCGCAGAGTTTCAAAGGTGAGTATTCGAGTGGGAGATAGCATCGAATGTACATCATGGAAGCCATTTGCTTGCCACCAGGCAAACTGTCCAGGATTATCACGACCTGGGGGGAATAATGGGTTATGTAGCAAACGTAGTAACGGTAAGTGGGCAGAGATGAGGCCAGCGGAATATTTAATAGAATCCCAAAGACGAAGCGTTAGCATCAGCGTTGGACTAAGGGATGAAGGTCGATGAGTAAAAGGAAGCCACGGCAAAGAAGAGAGTGGTATCGGGTGGGAGTCCTTCAAGTCTACAGTAGCCCACAAGGGGAAACGGTGAGATGCATGGAGATGGGCTAAGGGGGCAATATTGGCCGCCAGATAGTAAGACTGAAGATTTGGGACAGATAACCCACCCTCGGTCTTACGAGCAAATAAAATATGTTTACTAATTCTGGGTCGAGAAGAACTCCAAATGAAAGACAGAAGTTTTCGCTGATGAATACGCAATATATGCGAAGGAACAGGGGCAGGTAAAACACATACAATAATTTGGGAAGATAGGTCATACAGATCGCATTGATTCTACCGAACCACGAAAGCGGGTAGTGAGACCAGGAGGACAGCAGCTCGGTCAGTTCATTAAAGACAGCGGGGAAATTAGCCCGATAAAGTCCTTCGTAAGTCGGGATGAGCTTGTATGTTGTAACTGTAAAATGCATCTGATGGCATCTCTGATGGCATCAGACGCATTTTAAAATGCATCTGATGGCATCTCTGATGGCATGGCTTGTCTGTGGGGGACAAAACCCACCTGGTCTTTTTTTTATTAGACGAGAAAGGAAAGAATTCAAACGAGTGGCTAAGATCTTAGTGAGGATTTTCATATCAATGTTAATAAGAGAAATAGGCCTATAATTTGCCCAAGAGGTATGATCTCGATCCCGTTTGGGGATCATAACCACATTAGCAGTCAAAGAGTCAGGAAAAGTTCAAACCTTCCTTCACGGCATTGAAGATAGCAACAAGGTGAGGGGCAAGCACATCGGCCAATTTCTTGTGGTATAAAGCCGTGTATCCATCTGGACCTGGGCGTTTGCCCGTCTTCAGATCTGCTATGCATTGCAGAACTTCTGATAATTGGATATCACGGTCCATCAGGTCCTTATAAGCCTGAGTCAAAGTAGGCAAGGACAAATGGGATAAAAAGTCAGAAATAGACTGAGGGTCAGCCCGTGTAGGATCCGTATAAAGTCTGGCAAGTCGATGCCGAAACTCCTCCAATACCGCTACAGGATTACTTGTGAGAGCATTCTGACGATTGCGTAGAGAAATCGGTTTGGGTGATGTGCAAAAGAGCGTAATCTATGTGCCAACATGGAGTCTGGTTTATTTGCTTTACTATACCACTTCTGGCGCGTCCAACGCAAAGAACGCTCAGCCTCTTCCGTCAAACAAAGATCCAGTTCCAGGCGGGCCTGATCTAGCAATCTACGGTTCGATGGGGTAGGTACCTGCTTAAACTGAGCCAACGCGGAAGCTAGCTTTGATTCCAGCTGACACTGTTTATGTTGTCTATCCCTCCTCCACCTCGAAGCTATCTGAATAATATGGCCCCTAAGAACAGCCTTGTAAGCTTCCCATACCGTTACCGAAGAAGAGACAGAACCCGAGTTTAGTTGGAAATATTCTTGGGATTTGCGCTGCAGTTCCACCTGAATCTCCTTTAGCGAAAGTAGGGAGTCATTCATAATCCAAGAGCAGTAGGCTGGCTTACAGAGGAGAGATCGACATACCACCAAAATGGGGTTATGATCAGACCACGGAACTGTGAGGATAGAGATGGAGCGAACCAAAGGGAGATGTTCGCGTAGTACAAAAGCATGGTCAATTCTGGAATGAGAATGGTGAGAGTAGTAAGTATAGTCCTTCCTGCGGGGGTGGAATTCACGCCATAGATCTACCAGGTCATGGGTACTTAACGTACGTGTAAAGGATTTAGCTGACTCGGAAGAATCAGAATTCTCTGCAGGGTATTTATCCAGTGAGGGATTTAATACTAAGTTGGAATCTCCTGCCATCAAAAGGTACCCCGTTGATGGATAGCCAGGAGGGAGCAGATATGTGATAGAAAGGGTCCGGGGTTGACATTGGGAGCGTAGTAGGACATTATTGTGACATCTATACCCTGAATCATGCCCTGTAATAAAAGATATCTGCCACTGGGGTCAGCAATACGCTTCACACAGACAAACGGAGTTGTGCTGAGAAAAGCAACTAGAACTCCCCTTTGTTTAGTTAGGCCAGTAGCCTGAAATACCTGAGGGTAGCGTGCATCAAAATATTTTGGGGCGGAGGTAGTTGAGAAATGATTTTCCTGCAGACAAGCAATGTCGACATGGTGAACCCGGAGAAACTTAAATATCTTTACCCGTTTTTTGCATAGAGTTCATTCCCTGAACATAAAGAAAAGGTTTTAATGATTTTATATATATGTGATTTTCCAGTTCCAGGTAGGGGGCGTGCGCCACGGCTGTCAATCACCAGGTCCAGGCCGGTGATTCCTCGCCGGCACCCAGTGATCACCGATTATTACCGACGGGGGAGAGACCTGTGTATAAACAACACAGATCTCTCCCCTGTCAGCGCCTACACACTGCCTTGTATGGCTCTGCATAGCAGAGCCATACAAAGCAGTGTACTTACAGTGTAAAGCACAGACACAGCCCCCATAGTGAACACGCACAGCACACAGCTAACCCTTTGATCGTCCCACACGTTAAATATCAACATTGTTGCCAAAAAGCAACAAACAGTCCAAAATATCTAGTCTTTCCTGTGGTCTTCCACCTATAACAAACTTGTCCAAGTGAGACCTTTACATCCCTTATGGACACCTCTTCACCTTATCAATATGATGTTTTAATGAAAAAAGGTCTACAGGGCATATCCATTTGTAAAGCCTGAACAGGGCTTTCCGCAGTGGTGGTTGCATACTGATTAAACTTCTAGGATTATTACCAATGCTCAAAAGACACAAAGGAAGAAAAACATTTTGAATACTGCTCATGTGCAGTTGATTGTTGGATATTATTAGCACAAAACACTTATATACACTATATTGCCAAAAGTGGATGCCTGCCTTTATACGTACATGAACTTTAATGGCATCCCAGCCTTAGTCCGTAGTGTTCAATATTGAGTTGGCCCACCCTTTACAGCTATAACAGTTTCAACTCTTCTGGGAAGGCAGTCTATAAGGTTTAGGAGGGTGTCTATGGGAATGTTTGACCATTTTTCCAGAAGTGCATTTGTGAGGTCAGACACTGATGTCGGCCGAGAAGGCCTGGCTCCCAGTCTCCGCTCTAATTCATCCCAAAGGTGTTCTATCGGGTTGAGGTCAGGACTTTGTGCAGGCCAGTCAAGTTCCTCCACCCCAAACTCGCTCATCCATATCTTTATGGCCCTTGCTTTGTGCACTGGTGTACAGTCATGTCACACCATAACACCCTGGTCACATCAAAGCCGATTTTGAAATCTTGCGACTTACAGTGAAGTCGCACAATTTCAAATTCAGGTGACCTGCCGATTCCCTTGTGATTTGCCTGACATCTGACACAGATGCAAGTCACAACAAAAATAGTGCATGCACTACTTTAGAAATTGGTGTGGCTCCGGCCAAGTCAGAACTGCACCAATATGACTGCTCTAATAGCAGACAATAGGGTGTAACTTGGCATACGATTTTCAAGTCACCTGGCATGCAAATTGCATGCCAAATCGCACCCGATATGACCGGGGGGCTAATCCCCCCCCTCCACCAAACTTTACACTTGGCACAATGCAGTCAGGCAAGTAAAGTTCTCCTGGCAACCTCCAGACACGTCCATTGGATTTCCAGACAGAGAAGCATGATTGGTCACTCCAGACAACACGTCTCCACGTGCTCTAGAGTCCAGTGATGATGTGCTTTACACCACTGCATCCAACGCTTTGCATTGCACTTGGTGATGTAAGGCTTGGATACAGCTGCTTGGTCATGGAGACCCATTCAATGACGCTCTCTACACACTGTTGTTGTGCTAATCTGAAGACCACAAAAAGTCTGGAGGTCTTTAGCTTTTGACTTTGCAGACAGTTGGTGACTTCAGCATGCGCTGACCCCGCTCTGTCATTTTACGTGGCCTACCACTACGTGGCTGTGTTGCTGTTGTTCTCAGTTGTTTCCACTTTGTTATAATTCCACTAACAATTGACCATGGAATATTTAGTAGCCAGGAAATGTCACAAATTAACTTACTGCACAGGTGGCAACCTATCACAGTACCACACTTGAATTCACTGAGCTCCTGAGAGCGACCCATTCTTTCACAAATGTTTGTAGAAGCAGTCTGCATGACTAGGTGATTGATTTTATACACCTGTGGCCATGGAGGTGATTGGAACACCTGAATCCAATGATTTGGAGGGCTGGCCCAATACTTTTGGCAATATAATGTATGTGTGTGTGTGTGTATATGTATATGTATATGTATATATATATATATATATATATATATATATATATATATATATGTGTGTGTGTATAAACTATAGTTGTGAAAAGAGTTTTCATTTTATCACCGATAACATTGCCATTCACGTGGATTGCACAGACTAATTTCCGTTTTTCACAGTAGCCCATCATTACTTTTCTATTACTTTGAAGTGATTGTATTTCCTTTTTGGGGATTTTCACTTTATGCTTGTAGCTCACTATAAGTGTGTGCAGGATCATTTGGACACTGATATTCTCTTGGTAAGTATTCTCTTTTTTCTTTACAGGTATGTGCTTGCTTGATACCTTTTATTTATGTGACAGGGTTGCTTTAAGTGCTAGATTTAAAAAAATGTAATGCAGAAGCCAGCCCCAGGCTGACTAAAATCCAGAAAAGGCTTTTGTAAAATGTAGACAGAAGGATGGCACTGTGCATTTAGTTATTAGTGAATTGCTGGGAACTACTCTATTTGTCAACCCTGTGACCAACAGGCCTTAGGAAACCATCAGATCATCAGGCCTGGAACTGTAGCATCTGCCCCGACTTTATGTTGCAGTCTACTGTTTGCAGTTGGTGCCATGGATCCAGTACCAAAGATGTTACATACTCCATATACCAATGGATAATTATAGTTTTTTTTATATACAGCCGGCTAGACGTGTAGAATGGAAAAATTTGTTGCGTCTCAATTCATTATTGAAATAATTTAGTTTTGTTTAATTCGTTTTTGGAATTTGTTTTGTTTCATTTCATTTTCGATCTTTGCTTTGACTGAATTTGAAAAATTTGAATTGGCATTTGAAATTCAATTGGCATTCTATTCTATTCTGTTGAATTCTATTCTATTGTTTTTCCTATTCTACTCTATTCTTTTCTATTCTATTCTTTTCTTTTAATTTAAATATTTATTGATTTTCAAAATATTGGGAAAGATAAAATCCACAGTACAAATTCTTTACATTCTCATAAAAAAAAACCCAAAAATAAACAATCATTCCCATATTTTCCTTGTTTCTCCCATCCCCCCCACTAACAAAATTGCCCTCCCCCCCCCCCCCCCCCCACCCTCCAACCTGCACTTCTCTTCGCTTTCTGCTCTTAGGCAAGAGAAAAAGAGACTTCAAAAGTGTTCTTATTACAAAGGGACAGAAAAAAAGAGAAACCCTTCTTCATCTATTCACCTTCGATCTAAACTCTTCCCATTTTTTCCATTTTGTTTAATATGTCTCCAACCTATCTTCCTGTATATAAAATAATTTCTCCATTCTACCAATCTGGTCCACTCTATCTATCTAGTCCTCCTCTTTTGGAGCTTCTACTTTACGCCAAAACTTTGGTATCAGACTTTTGGCTGCATTTAAAAAGTACCATGCACCTGTTTCTTTATATTTATTTACTGATAATTCTGTATTATGTAATAGGCAGATTCAAGGGCCCAACTAATATCTATTTCCGTAATCGTTTTAATTTGATGTACTACGTTTCTCCAGAATACTTGTATTTTTGGACATTTCCACCATATGTGATACATCGTGCCTATCTCTCCGCACTCCCACCAACACAAAGGTGATTTCTCCCCATTCATCTTGTGCTCTATACTCAGTGTAATATACCCTCTTATCAAACATTTATAGTTCATTTCCACCTCGCGTGTACTTACATTCTCGTGAATCAATCTAAATATTTTTTTTCTGTTTAACCTCCTCTATCACCACCCCCAAATCTCTTTCCCATTTTTCTATATACATTAGTTTTTTTTCCCTATATCTAACTTAGTGAGAATTTGCCATGTTTCCCATCTCCTCGTGATTCCAACAACCTCTCAAACAAATTCCAATCTTTTCTAGATCTCAAGGGCTTAGGCAAATTCCCAACAAAACATTTTAATTGATTATACCTCCAACTATCTATCTTAGTGAAAATCTTTCCCTCTTCCTTTTCCAAATCCTTAAGTGATCTCAGTTCTACTCCTTTCATTATATCTCTCAACTGGGCTTCCTCCTTCTTGATCCATTTTCCTGAGATTTCCTCCCTACCTGGCGGGAAAAGCCCTGAATTTCTCAATGGCATCAAAAATGAGTTAAAGTCCCACTTATCTGCTTATGCATTTTATCCCAGAATCTTAAAACATTTAAAGTATACACACTAGTGCTCTCTTAAACCTCTATACTGTGTTGGCACCCATATACTCCTACTTAAATTATTACCAGTAAGTGAATTTTCTATTGTGACCCAACTTTTCCCTTTTAAGTTATGTGTCCAATCAAATATTCTAGCCAAAAAATTACTGCTTTATAATATCTTTTAAAATCTGGCATTCCCAATCCGCCTTTTTCTTTATTTCTACTTATCACTTCATAAGATACTCTAGGTTTTTTATTTCTCCAAATATATCTTATTTTTTTAATCATCTTAAAATATACCTCTGGAAGCTTAATAGGGACCATTTGGAATTTATATAGGTTTTTGGGGACGATTACCATTTTTATCAAATTTATGCGTCCTATCCAGGACTGATTTCCTCCTCCTAATCTCTTTAGTTCCTCTCTAATTTCATTTAACATTACTATATAATTTGATTTATAAAGGTTTTTATATGCCGAAGTGAGTTTTACCCCCAAGTATTTTAATTCTCTCTCTTTCCACACAAAGGGAAATTCCCCTTGTATCCCCCTTTTTTTCTTATTTGGAAGATGTTTAGTGTCTCTGTTTTAGCCGGGTTGATTTTTAAATTTGACATCTCTCCATATTCCTTCAATGCCCTCATTAAATTAGGGAGCGTTATCCTAGGATTTCCGACATAAAACAATAAATCATCCACAAAAGTGGCAACCTTATGTTCTATATTTCCTATACATATTCCCTTTATGTCTGAATTTTTCCTTATTGTTGACAACAGTGATTCCAAGGACAAGACATACAACAATGGGGACACGGGCAGCCCAGTCTTGTTCCATTTGTCATCCCAAATGACTCCGACATCTCCCCATTTACCATAACCACTGCGGAGGGACTCCTGTACAACTTTCCTATCCATGCTCTCATTCTAACTCCCACTCCCAGGACCTCCAATGTATCCATCATGAATCCCCAGTTAACTCTATCAAATGCCTTCTCTGCATCCACTAAAAGAACCACCACTGGAGTCCTTCCCTTTCTACTTTTCTGAATAAGCAGCAAGGATCTCAACCCATTGTCTCTGCCCTCTCTCCCTTGAACAAAACCCACCTGATCTTCATGTATCCATTCGGGCATTAAATCTTTCAGCCTATTTGCTAAGATCTTTGCATATATCTTCGTATCTATTCAATAATGATATTGGTCTATAACTTGAACACTGGGCGGGATCTTTTTCGTGAATAAGGACCACCTGAGCCTGCAGGGATTCTCGTCTCATATCCATCTCTACCGCCAAGGTGTTGAAATAGGACTTCAATTTAGGTATTAGCAATTCGCTGTATTTTTTATAATATCTAACAGTGTATCCATCTGGCCCTGGGTTTTTTACCCATCATGGAGCTTTTTAATGCTATCTTTATTTCTTCATATGTAATTTCAGAATCTAGGGAGTTCAGAAGATCTTCATTTAATTTCGGTAGACCTGCATTTTTTATATATATCCTTCTTTTTTCAATAGTTGCTGTTCCATCCTTATTTATTAAATCTTGGGGGGCAATATTATAAAGTTTACTGTAATAATCCTTAAACACCTTCGCAATATCTCTAGTTGTGTGAGCCAGTTCTCCCTTGGGGTTTTTTATTTTATCTATATAATTCCTATTCTTCTTTTTCCTCAAAGCTCTCATTAAAAACTTTCCTGGTCTATCCCCCCATCTATACTTTTCACATAACACTTTATTAAAGACTCCCCTCTTCTCCTCTTCCATCATATTCTCTAATTCTTCTTTCTTTCTTTTTTTACTTTCTGCATTCTCTCTTTTGTTTCTTTTTATGCAACTGTTCAAACTCAGCTAATTCCTTTAGGAGCCCACTAATTTTCTCTCTCCTTTCTCTTTTCTTTCTTGCCCCAATTGCGATAAGGATTCCTCTTATATATACCTTATGCACCTCCCACACTGTAGCCACTGACACATCTCCTGTTTCATTTTCCTCAAAATATCTCCTAATCTCTCCAATCTTCCGCTCGGTCTCTTGATCCATTAGAAGTGCCTCATTCAACCTCCATACCGACCCTCCTGGAGACCTCCTTCCCCATCCCACTTTCATTACAACAGGGGCATGATCTGAGAGTGACATTACCTCTATTGTTACTTTAACCAAAGACTCTATTAATCGGTGATTCAGTACGTAGTCCAACCTAGAATACATCTCATGTACCTTTTGAGAAAAAGGAATAGTCTCTGTCTTTCATGTGCATGATTCTCCAACTGTCCACCAATTGATACTCCCTTATCCCTTTCCTCAGTAATCTTAGGGACTTACTCCCCTCCCTTTGTGCAAAAGAAGTTGTATCCATTTGTGGGTCCATACATAAATTAAAATCCCCAGCTACTATCAAATATCCCTTTCTAAAATCCATCAATCTTTTTAAAACTCTTTTCAAGAATAACTCCGGCTTCTTATTTGGGCAGTAGATGTTAGCAACTGTACATTCAATATCTTGTAGTTTACCTTTCAGGAATAAAAACCTCCCATCCGGATCAGTCTTTCTATCCTCCAACTCAAACCTTATATTCTTTGCAAATCTTATAGCTACCACCTTTGCTCTCTTAATTGGGGAATCTGCATAATACCATGATGGATAGTATCTGGAGTTCAACTTAACGTTTGACTTCAATTTAAAATGCGTTTCCTGTTGGAAAACC